TTCTTAAACTAAGTATATTTAACCTTAATTTGATTAGGTAAATGACGAGTAGTTTCACTCTTAAAATATAATTAGATAAGCACTTGAAATAAGATGATGCAATTGTGTTTTATTTTGTGTGTAAATTGTCTTGTTCCATTTCGATTTTTTCCAGTGCATGTACAGACCTCCCTGTTGGCCATCAAATATCTTACCATTTTCATAAGAATCCAAAAGAATAATTTAATTTCACATACTAACCCAAACAGACAACTAAAAACACTTTCCAAGCTACAAGTGACACATTTGTTTTATGATGCAACACCAAATGTAACACAAAATACCAATAAAAAATAAAATGCATTAAACAAGGTTTTTGGTTGATATACACTGCAGGTTTTTATTACAAGTGTCAAACTACAGGGCTGAGGGGAACTGGAAACCCAGTTAGATAGCCTACAGTCAAAACCTTTTTTCATCAAAAAAAAGAAAAAAAAAGAAAATACAGGTAAAAAACACTTTGGAGTATTTAAAAGAAGCTGGAACACTTTCAAATCACATCAGAAGACGAGCATGTGTAAAATATTCTGCACAAATTGTAACAACCCCCCCTTCTGCCCAGGAAGGGAGGGAGGACGGCTAGGAAGAGCTTAATCTCTTAACTGGTGTCCATCTGGGAAAAAGAAAGAAATGATACATGTTAGGACAGCTTTAATTGATTTCACTACCAAACGAGGTACAGTCCAACAGTGGGACATACCCTGGCGTTGTAGGCGTCTAACTGTGCATCAAGCTCTTCTGCCGACAGCTGCTGCTTGTTCACACCACCACGACCACCTCGCCCTCTGCCTCGAGAGCCTCCTGCGCCACGGCCACCCCGACCTCTCTGCATGCCGCCAAAGCCACGCCCTCTGTTCATACCACCACCACCTCTATTCAGCCTGAAAAAAAAAAAAGATAACTCAGATTACCATAATCCTGAATAAGAGCTAATCACTTTCAAACAACAGGAAATTTGCTCGTTTATGATTGAGTGATCAGTGCCCATGATCTAAGGAACACACCAAACACACACTTACCCCTGCATAGGCCGCCTCTGTGTGTCGATCTGTGATGTGACGAGTTGTATGTTCATAGGACGCCCTAAAAAGGCAAATAACCAATTTTAAATAAGCAAAAAAACATGCTTAAAAAATAGGTAATTATTTGACGCCAAATAGACAATAAGCAACTTCTTTCAGCCCTAATTCTAACACTAAACTATGCGTGGTATATCTAAGATATATACTCAGGGACGTCATGGACGTCTGTGCATAGTAGAAATTAAAACTATTGAATTGTAATAAATACTTGGCAGGTTTGTAGAAGATATCAGCACTGACATAAATCTCTTATTCATAATTTCAATACCAAACCACGACTATTATAGCTTGCCATAAAGTTTGGACAACCACAAAGCAAATGTTACTTAAGTTGTCTGAAACCCTATTCCTGGATCTGAACCGTACCATCCAGAGGGATGCCGTTATACTGCTTCATGGCTTTAAGTGCATCTGCCCTCCTCTCAAAGTGGACATCAGCTGTTCCTAGGCTCCTTCCTGAGCGGTCGTAATGAACGGCAGCCTTCTTCAGTGTCCCAAATTCAGCAAAAAGTTCCTTTAAAAAAATAAAATAAGTTAATTTTCACCCAAAAAACAAAACAAAAAAAAAAACAGGCAAAGGCAGTCAGAAATCTTGTTTACCTGAATATCTGCATCTGAAACACCAAAGTCCAGATTGGAGACTAGGAGCTTCCCTCCAGTTTCCACACCAGCTCCACCGCCACCTCCAGCACTACCATTAAACCCTCCGAAGCCGTTGTCGAACATGTCATGCTGCCATTTGTCTGGGAGCTGTTTCGGCTGCAACAGACGAAAGAGAACGCACCTGCTGACTTCAGGATCCCCTTGCCTCCCTGTCAATCACAGAGTCCACATGGCCGGGTGTTGGGGAAAGCAGGGGCTCCACTTCCAACATGGCCAGGGTGGTCACCTCCCTTAATGGGGTGAGAGGGGGTCCGTACCCCCCCAAAAATAAATAATCCCTGCCCACCCCATCACTACAAGCAAGTGAATCAGTTCAGACAGTATACATCACTTATTGAAAGCAAGGGGATATAGCATAATATTTAGAGGCAGACATGCAGAGACCTTTAGCAAGATGTACAAAACAATTCTAAACTATGTCTGCTCAATGTCAACCAAGAGAGAAAACTTCAAAGGAATTAAAATAACCCACACCCACCCATAGATACTTTACACTAAACCTGAAAAACTCCCCATACTAGCTAGCAGGAGTTCCCATTGTTCTCTTGCCATCTGCGCCTCCTTGAAAGGGCCCTCCAGAGAGGCTCCGGTGACACGCCAGGGGCTCCATCTGCAGCAGCCTCGTCCAGCGCCGACCAGACCTTCCTCGAATACCGCAGAGTTCTCTGGGGTCTTCTCAAGGTGGATAATGTCCATATGGTGCAAAAAAGTTGGCCTCGTACCCCTCTTAACAAGCGTGGATTAAGTGAGCGTCCATTTTAAGACCACGCCATTTTGACTGGGGCTTTCATTTCTATTCTTTTAACAGGCACCGTTTAATAAAGCAATTGAGCATTGCCATATATGAGATAATAGGGGGTAAAGTCCACTTTTCCATCCATAAAGAATTGGGCGCAGTGGTTGAAAAGGATTCAGACATGCCTCGATAAACCGGCCAGCCACTCCCAGAACAAAGGGTCGTCTAGTCGACGAAACATGGGGAAAATTCGTTCCCAATGGATGTGAAAAACTCGTCTGACGGTCGGCTTGCTCCGTGATGTGGTTTCCTTCCTTTTCCGTGAGAGACGGGAAAACAGCACTCGACGCCTGGCCTTAAATTTCGGTGTCTGGATTCAAAATGGCGCCGTTGAGGCCTAAGACATCCGCTCTTCTTAGACACTGGTGTATAACATTTGGCTTGATGGGAGAAGGTACGCGTTATACAAACAACTTCCATTTATGCGTAGCCGCTTTCTATAAACCTCTCCTGGGAGAGAGATAACTCAGCGGCTAGCTTTCATCTTTTTTTTCCGCTCGACTTAGCCAATTGGCAAGAGGATTAGCTAGGAAGCAAACTGAAGGACGTTAACTGGGAATTTCAGGTGTGTCGAAGGTTTTTTTTTTCCTTTGACCGCTTATTCCTCTAACATTCTCATACCCTGCTGTAAGGTGTCGGTCTGCCTCTAGCGCGATTCAGGTTCTGTCGATTCCTCATGGGGCCGGATCCGCCGCCTCGGCCTCCAAAACCTCCAGTGCCGCCGCCACCAAGGCGCCCGAGGCCTCCTCCGCGACCGGAGCCTCCGCGGCCTCGGCCTCTTCCTCCGCGGGGTCCACCTCTCTGCTGCCTGTTCTGTTTGATAATGTCATCTAGAGACATATCCATTTTATCGGCCATTATTTAGCCCCAATTATTCTAAACTGTGATGGAAAAAATAAAACGTACACCCTAGACTCTGTTGGTCCTTCTCCCTAGCTTTTCGCAGCGCAGCACCGACGACTGAACACACAATAAGCTAACCGCCTCAGAATATAGACAAACAGGCACGTTACGTAGTTACGTATTTAGACGTCAAGACGTAAAACATAAATTCAAGGGGGAATAGCGCCCTCTTCTGTCGGATGTTTTATATTGTACAATACTCGACCCTAGATTTAACAAGTTAAATTCTTAGAATTGAATTAGGAAATTAGTAGATGGCAGGAATATCACTATTGAAACATTTTCTCTTAACTCAAACCTAAAGAGCTTGTTTAATTCTATTGCACATAACAGAAGCAAGGGGTGCCATACAGCTTGGTCTGCTGTATGTTAAAAACAAAACAATAAAAAAGAACCCCAAAACAATAAAAACATAAAGATACAAAAAATAACAAAGAGCTAAAAAAAAAAAGAGAGATTTAAAAACAGAATAGGAGGAGGCCTTTTTAATACTCAAGGGTAAAGTTTTCCGTAATTTACGAGCACCAAATACAAAAGGTCGGTTTCCTCTGAGCTTCAGCCTCGCTCAGAACTCTAACAAACAGCTTCTGTACAGACATTTGGCTTAAAACAAGAGAGCCAGTTCCTTTGCTTTCAGCTGTTTACCTACAAGAAAAAGGGACACTCTTTCAAGGACAGCTCATTGGCAAATAAAAAACTTCACCAAAATGATTGGAATGCAGCTGAGAACCCTCTTCTAAATTTTAAACCCTTCTGATAAAATAAAAATATTTAAAACAACTCAATATATAAAAAGAAAAGATTGCAATTAAATAAACAAAAAAAAAACAAAACAAATGCTTGCATAATCTGTCTTGTAAATAACATAATTAACACTTTTCCTTGAGTATAAAAAACATTTAGCATTCATAACTCTAAAAATCAGAGGTTAGACTCTGATTGCAGATACTTAATGACAGGCTTTGCCCTCAACCTTTAGTAAAGGTTGAGGGCAACCTCCTGACAGAAGGCTTATAGGATCCCACCTTTTCCAACATACTACTACACACAACCCTTAACACACAAGGTTTTGGTGTGTTCTTTAGCAAGTACAGAGAAACCAGCTAATTCACAGACCTAGTTCACTTATCACACAGAATTTTAATGAAATAGATGAGCAGTTTTAAAACATTAGTAATGTTGCTCTTTTTATGACAAAATAGAATTTGACTGTATATATATAAAGGATTGTATTGTAACATCTAAATAATAACTAATAGCTTGTCTAATTTGAATCTCTACAGTAGATTGTCTGTTTACAGAGAAAATAAGGTGAATACAAACGTTTAATTTAGTTTTTCTCTTCTCCAAATTTTGATTTTAAAGTGAAAGAGAGAGCTACCTGTGTATGACTGAGAAATTTAGCTTAGTATCTTTATTTTTTTTCTATCTCTGGGAAGCGATTTACAATTGATGGCATACAGTTCAGTGGAACTACATCTGATTATCATTCACGTAGGACCAAGAAATGCAGGGGGTACTGTAAAAGTCTTTTATTCAACATTTTTGTTTCAAGGCTTTGAGCAGAGGGCTTAACAAAGGGCTGTTTACTCTGCAAAATAAAATCCACCAAGGGCAAGATAGTTTATTAAAAAGGTTGGCCTTCTACACTTTATTTTGGCTTTCAATACTTGCCCATGAAGCATTTCTAATTGATCAATCTATTTTCCAGAATGGAACAGAAAAAGCCCTTTACAATTTCTTCCAATGTCATTTGAGTTGTTCTACTATTGTTTAAGACTTCAGTCTTTTTGTCTTGTCGGGTTTCAATCTGTGCTTCGGTTGTTTGATGAACCCTTGGAGCAGTCTCAGCCACACCAAGAGCCACAATATGAAGACTTCTGTCACCTGAAAACATAAAAAGAAAGAGCTGGTTCCCCCTTAAAAGCCAAGGCTGTTTTTTTTGTCAGTGGTCAAGGGAAAAAAAACAGAAAAGGGTTGCTATGGTCCTTGTATACAAATGAGATTTGTATTCTGTGTTAGACTTTCCAACAGGGTCAAGTTTCTGGCTGTCAGAGAGCAGAGAAATTAAAAGTTCTTGAGGATAATGGATGAAAAAAAAAAAAGTAACAGGAACATGAGAGAAAAAACTAAGACTTTTTGGAGTCCTGTGTGTTGCGCTTTTTTAGGTCACTCAGGTCCACTGGTGTAAAAGCTGGAAAAGCAGACAGAGAAGCAAAGTTGTTATTGCTCTACAGTTGTTCCCCCCAGAAACAACATAGTTCTATTACATTTGGCTTGTTAACTTACAATGTAGGTTAGGATTTGGGTTCTTCTCCACATACTCCTGTGGTCCGCGGTCGTTGCGTTCACTATTTTGTGTCGATCTGATGTCTCGGAGCACACACTGCCAGGCTGGGAGAGAATAACGATGACAGGATGTTATATTTGTCATATAGAGGACTCATGTGGTCAGATAATCAAATAGAGGTTTATTGTGTAAATATACAAAGCCTGGCACCAGGGATAATAAACCCTTTGACAGATATTAAAATAAAACCCTGGTGGAATAATCACTGATACACCCAACCATTTGTTTTAAAAAAAGATGCTTGTTTTAATGTTGATTAGGTTTTATAGGACTTCTAATTAGTAATGTATGATTTTCCTGGGGTTTAAATATAATGTAACGCAGGGGCCCAATTGCTTCAAACACTGGGTTGAACAAGGGCCTACAATGCACAACAGGAGGGATGGTTATAGCAGCTTGGAACTAACATCAAACAGTCAATGTCATAAACACATGCTAACATTTTTGGTCAGATGTTACCCATGGTTCCCCAGACAGAAAAATGTGCATCACTCTGCAGGACTTGGGGACCGATGGTATAGCTGGTTGGCTATAAAATGTACAGGTGGATGTGACAGAAATAGACAAGATCGGAACAAACCAATTCAACCGAGCTGAGTGATTTGGTTAGATGAGACTAGGAACTAGTCATTTAACAGCAAACGCTTAAGGTGAGCCTGGCTTAAAAGGAAGAAATGTTTAGAAAAACTCAGTATCCAACCTTTTTAAGTGTGATGGAGGATTGATGATACTGCAGGCTTGTTTGGATTCTAAAAGCCCCATAAACCTCGATAGACTGAAAAGTTACAATAACTGAACATATCGATACCAATCTGCTTAACTCTATCAGTAAGGGGAAACCTCTAAAACCTGCAGTACAGTGGGCCTTGAGGACCGAGGTTGGGGATGCCTGTCTTAGAGCATTGAAGATGGGTCGAGGCTGGATCTTCCAACATGACAATGACCCGAAGCGCACAGCCAGGATCACCAAGGAGTGGCTCTATAAGAAGCATATCCAGGTTTCACCGTGGCCTTATACCAATAGAGAATCTTTGGAGGGAGCTCAAACTCTGTTTCTCAGCAACAGCCCAGAAACCTGAATGATCTAGAGAAGATCAGACCTCTGTAATTGCAAACAAAGGCTACTGTACCAAAGATTGAGATTCTTTCTCAGGTGCTCTAATACCTTTTTGCAGCTGTATCATACAAATAAATGGTTAAAAAATACATTTTTATTTCTGGATTTATTTTTCTTAGATTATGTCTCTCACAGTGGACGTGCACCTAAGATAAGAATTTCAGACCCCTCCATGATTTCTAAGTGGAAGGACTTGCAAAATAGCAAGGCGTTCAAATACTTATTTTCCTCACTACATATGCAGAGAGGAATGTTTAAAAGCCACTCAGTCTCAATGCTCTGGCTATGTCAAACACTACAGGAGACATCAAAAAGATGCCCTGCTGCATTCAATGGAAGAATGACGGTTCCATCTTTGATTTTTTCTAAAAACATGGATCTATTTTCCACATGTTTAGGCATGTCAATAAATACAGACAACAGTAGTGAAACAAAGATGTGAGTCTCACTACATCTATCTTAATAGTTATAAGGATGTAGCACTGCTGTATAAATAACTCATTCTAAGTCACAGGTGTCAAACTGGTTCCAGAAAGGGTCGTGTGGCTGCAGGTTTTCTTTCCAACCAAGCAACAGCACACCAGACTCCAGTCATCTCATCAAGTCATCATGTTTAGATTGGACTCCCTTGATGAGATGACTGGAGTCTGGTGTGCTGTTGCTTGGTTGGAAAGAAAACCTGCAGCCACAAGGCCCTTTCTGGAACCTCTTTGACAACCCTGTTCTAAATGATGGTTAAAGCAATAATATATTAAAGCAAAGACAGTAGGGTGACTACCTATTAGCCATATCAACTAGTTCCAAAGAGATATGCATTTGTTGATGTTCCTAAACGAAGATGAGCTTAAATGTAAAAATATGGAAGCAGCAACTCAAAGCGTATGAACAGAGTTATGTTTGGTGATTCACTGAAAATTAAATTTAAACCAGTTAGCTAGTAGTTGTTTAGGCTTATGATGCCAACAGAGTTCTTTAATTTGATTATAATAATGTAAATTAAATTCACCTAAGTTAGAGTAAGGGTTGCTTGAATGCTTGCTCAAAAACCCTTTAAGGGTACGTTTGAAAATCTATTTTTCATTATTTGCATTATCAAAACTGCTGCCTTTTATTAGTTAAGGCAAAAAAAAAAAAAAAAACGAGAAGTCTTGAGTCAACTTCCCTGCAACATAGCCTCCCAAAGGAAAAAGGAATCAAAACAGCTAAGATGTAGATGTTTTTATAAATATCACCATAAAGGTAGAAAGCTCACACCCTTTTTTTAGCTCAATGCAGCCTTAGTCTTATTCATGTATGATCTATGATGCATACATTGTTGAATTATGTCCTTACTATCATGTATAAAGCGCACATTCTCCTCGTGTGCTGGGGTAAACAGCTCCCCACTGTTGGTCGGTGATCTGGGGCTTGAGGTCCTCTTGTAACTATTCACCATCCTGGGAGCAGATGAGCTTCACACACAAACACAGAACAAAGACAGCAGCTGACATCAAGGTATTGTGAAAAAAATAACTATCAAGCACTTGAGTAGCAGAACTTTCTCACACCTGGTCATTCTGTTTGCAGTCTGTACTCGCTCCTTGCTCCTCTGGGGTGAGTGACTTTAAAGGCGATGAAGTCTCAAACTAAAACCCATCAAAAACAAAAACCTGTAAGTATTTGAAAATGAAATAACCTTTCATTTTCAAATACCTTTGTAGTTTAACATGCAATCAAAGCGATCCCCCTAATCTAATCCGACTGCAGCCAGAGATAACGCTTGCTAGCGTTCAACTAATCATTTCAGATACATTAGATAAATTCAGCCCAGATAAGGCTGGCTACTGTATAAATATCTAGTGTCTGCAATAGTGAAATGTTTCATTTAGTCTGTAAGTCTGTAACAACAAGCAGCGCTTGAGTTTAGCTAAAATAATACGCTTTTGTTTACGTTTTGACTCTAATGGTTTCCCTGATTTTAACTCAAGTAACAGGGGGCAAATCACAACATTATGTTAAAACTAAACATAAGCAGCATTTAACCGTGGAATACGCATCAAGTTGGAGTTATTCTACGGGATACAACCAAAAAATTAGAAAAGATAGCCATTTTATTAAGCTAACTCTAGCATTGCAGCTAGCTAGCTGGCCATTTGCATTGTCTCTTAGCGTTAGCTTGATCCGGCTAATATTTCTCAAATATTACTGGCAAACCGTTTGATGAAGAGGAGTCACCGTGATAATGATACTTGCAATCTAGCCTGTTAATACGCGTTAGGATGAAGAACAAACCTTTGTATATTTATATCCTCAATTTCTTTATTCAAAGACTTAGTAAGCCGAAAGATGCTGCTAAAAAAAAAATCGTTGCCAATGCCAACCAATCACTTGCGGGATTAGACGCGGAAGAGATATGAAAGACTTTCAAAACAACCTATGAATAAAAAAAAAGAAAGGAAACAGGATTATAAATAATAATAATAATAATCATTATAATAATAACAAAAAAATAATATTAATAATCACAATAATAATCACAATAACAATAACATAATAATAACAATGATGATCATAACAAAAATAATAATAATTCACTGCATTGCAACCATCTTCCACAGATGAGCCTAACAGGACACACACTCACACACAACTCTGTTTACCCCTCAAATTGCTTTGCAGCAATCGTATCGTTCACACAGTCGTGCACACATTCATATAGAGGTTCACAATTTTCCCATATATCCCCATGCATATAGTCTCATGTTTCCAAGAAACACAGGTTGGTTTCTGCAGGGGCAGAGCTAGATGGGGGGGGCAATAATTGGCCACCCCTGTGGCCACCCCTACCATTTTTTCCCTCCAATACAGACGTCGGCAGCAGTAATACTTTCAAGTGGAATGTTTTAACTTATTTAAAATTTAAAATTTTCTATATGAAAGCAATTACCTAACAACAAAAACATGGTGGTTAATTATGCACATCATAACATTAAAGATGATAAATACAGAATTCATGCTCTTTTCAGAACTAGATTGTGTCTTATATGGGTTAAAGAGAAAATTATGTCTCTGCAAGTCATGTAGGAATCTTCACTGAAATCAGAGATAAATAACTACGTTAATAATAAATAATCCATTTAATATGGATATTAGTACATGTAAATGTTAATTCTATGCAGAATGATTGTCAATAAAAGTAGGTAAGTAATGACAATGAATAAGATGTTTGCCCCAGAACTCAAAACTGAAAGAATTTTGTCCACTACACCTTTAATTTATACAGCATGGATGTTTAAATATATGCGTCTATCTGTTAACAAAGGCTGCAGGAAAGTATAGTTTGTCTTCATTTAGAAAATATGAATGTTGTGATTGTTCATTTTCCTTTTGGGACAGTGTAGATTAATCCTGAGGTTCTTGCACCGATCTGCTTTTGGCCCCCACTCAGTCTACATTGCTTATTGCCTGGCCACCCGTATTAACATTTTCTGGCTACGTCTCTGCGTTTCTGGACCTTCCCAAGTACACATTGGGACTCTAAAAACTAGGAATTGATAGCTTAAATTATTGAAAAACTATTTTTGCTTTCCTTATTAAAACTACTAGAGCATCTTATTTGTAAAAAGGATTTTATTTATAAAAATGTACAAAAACTAATAATTGTACCGACAATTATAAGACTTAAAATAATTTTCTTTTTACAACAGAGAACAGTCAAAATCCTGCAGAGATACAAGAGCTCTCACAGAAACAAATCTACATATTTAAGCTTTCTGAACTACATAAAAAGAGGTTGCAGTGATCTGGATGACCCTCTTTCTGCCCAGCAGTGAGGATGCAAAACATTATACAAAAACTTTGATACAAGTTCAGATTCTTGTGTAGATTTAGACATTTCTTTTAAAAACATTCAGTCTTCAGGCTGCATCCGGTTCCATAGAAAAATAAACAAATACAGATGATAAAAGATTTCAAATGAAAAACTGAATACATTTTTTTTTATAAATAAATATATGATTTGTCTTTAACTAGAATTCACAAGGAAAGACATTTGAATCCAGGGACATGTGCTTTTCAAATAGTCACACCATAGTATTTACAGCTCTTATGTCAGTTACAAATATTTAACAGTTTAAAATGAAGCAAAAGAAAGTAAATAAAAGTAATATAAAGCAATGATGAGCAGAGATGAGATACACTTTTGAAAAAAAAGGCAAAAAAACCCCAGAATGTTGCTTTTTGGCAGAAGCAGCGGCAACATACAGGTTTTATGTGAAGCTACTTGCTTAATTTGAGTCATTTTTGTGTCTTTTTTTTCTCACTCAGGTTCATGAGTGGTCACACACAGCCTTTTTCAAACAGTTTAGCCAGCTCTTTACAGTCTGGGTCAATCAGATCTGCGGGCTTTTCTCCGCTTTCGTTCTCAGCTTCTGTGCTTGCTCCCACTGACAGGAGGTACCTTGGGGTAGAGGAAAAACATAGTTAAACAGAGGCTATTACAATGTTTTAAACATCTATAGTTGTGCACGTGGACATAGTTTTGGATCTTTTTGGTCCCCTGCACGTTTTAATGTCCAAGAACAATGTTATTCTACGGTACATAGACATTTGTCAAGCATTAGGACAAAACGGAAAACTGCAGCTCAAGCTGAAGCCCGCTTCCCTGAGTTTAGACCACCCACAAGCTCCTGATTGACCCATCGTCTTTTCTTATGTGATTGCCTGTCACTGCTGTCACTCTTAAGAAACTCACTTTACAAACATCTGATGCGCCACTGAATCGGGTCTGTGATCAGATGCTCAAACATGCTGGAATTAGTTATATTAAAAAAATAGTTGTGTTCCCCCCACTTCTGAAATCAAAATTTCATCCATGGTTGTGCATTTTTCTGTCAAAGTTTATGTAAACACTGGATAAGGGCAGGACTGAGCATTATTTTTTAATTTCAGCTAGATGTAATCACTCTAGAGCTTAATGTGCTTTTAATTGTTTGAGAACTAGCAGCAATACCTAGCAATTTCTGGGTAGCCATCACTGCAGGCCATGTGCAGTGGCGTCCATCCGTCCTCGTCCCTCTGGTGCACGTCGGCGCCATATTTGACAAGGAGCTTCACCACCTCCAGGTTTCCTGTAAGCACGGCTTCATGCAGAGCAGCCATTCCTGGACAGAAGATAAAATGATTGCTTTGCATTAGGATATGCATATTACTACTCTACTAATACAACTTTCAAGATTAATGTAGCAGATGCACAGTTGTCAGGAAGAAGAATAAGGCACTGCTAACCTGAGTGGAAAAGCGTATCCACACGGACTTTCCTTGCTCTCATGAAGCGTCCAATTTGCTCCAGATCCCCTCGTCTGACGATGTCCTGGAAGATGATGTCGTTCGGGAAGTGCACAGTCCTCTTTGCAGGTGCCACAGGTATTACAGGTGCAGGTTTTTCCTGCGCTTGAGTGCGGCGTGTTGAGGTGTACTTTGAAACTTTGCTGTATGAAGGGACATACGTTGATGCAGCTCTGTAACTGGACGTGTAAAGGGATGGAGTGTAATAAGTGCTAGTCTGTGCCGTTGGGGTGTACTTTGATACAGTGGCGTACGTGGATGTCGAGGTGTAATGTGAGGGGCTGTAGTAGGAGGATGAGTGGTACACTGGTGTGTACTGTGAACTCTGTGTGTAGGTGGAGACCGGTGCTGCGTAGCTGTACTTCATCTTTGCAGCTGTCGCAGCTCTGTCACCTCCTCTGTAGATAAAAAGGAGGGAAATGAGAAATCCTGAGACGCAGAACAATCCAAGGAAAGAAGTATCCTTTATGCCGGGTCCTTGTTTGTAGCTTAACAAATAATACCAACAGTTTTTAAGTCTTCTATGTCGAGATTTTCCTTCTTTTTTGGCTGTTTATGTCCTCCTGTCGAAGGTCGATTTCTCCCAACTGAATGAGAATGCGTCAAACAGTATGCTTGCCTTTCCACAGAACTGTATTCTAAGGGGGTAACTGGGACTGCATCCCTATATACCCTCTGTAGTGCTATTTTAGGGGCTTATATCCAGTGACTTCAGCATAGCAATGAATGACCCTTAGCAGACTCCCCCCACTTTGGTCACATGTCCACCGACACTGTAACCACCCCAAGATCATAAAAACGTTGACAGTCTCAAAGTGCTCTTAACCCCTTGAACCCTACGGACCCACCGGCGGGTCCAGCTGCTACATGACCTTGTAGTTTTACCAAACCCCCAGTTTTGATGTAAAAACCATATTTGGCACAGTTTGGTGACATTTATGGATAAATGTGCCAAAATGGCCTCTCCGCCTAAGAAATTTCTCACTAATACCATTCTAAAATAAATATGATTCATCTGATTGAGTCCACATTTTGTATATTTTTACACAACATTTAGATTTGAAAGTCTGTACTACTTTTTTGTGCTATAAATAATATTTTGGTAGTGTTTTGCAATGTTTATTTCAAAGAAAATTTTGGCGAGGTTCAAAAAATGCAAAATATTTTGTATTTTGTCCCTAATATTTCAGGCAGGGTCAAAGCTACAATGGTGCTGACACCAGAAAACCATTCTATGACATCTTACCTTTACAGACGTACCAAAAGTTTCTTCTTAAATCTAATAGCTTTGAGGCTATAAGTTATTTACTTTTGTGTGTTTTTGTCAGGCAGAAATGTATTTATATCCCCTTAGGGTGTAAGAGGTTAAGAGTCTTGATTGGGACTAACACAGTATGTGCCCAAATAAAAAGGCAAACAAATATGAAGACACATGTTGTATGCCAACATTCTAATTTTGGAATTTCAAGCAATCATAGGTATACTTTTATATAACCATAAAGAACAGAATTTCAAAACAGCTGAACAAAAGTAAACAACAACAACATGTTTATTAATCTAGCTACACACAGTAACATGAGGTCAAGAAACATGACCCAAGTTTGAGATCCATGACTCTAAAACTGTTGTTTAGTAATCAATAGCCGGAAACTTGAGGCCCTTTCTATTCACTATTTAAAAAGAGTCATCAGAATGTAGAAAGTAGGCCTAGAGTTTGGGACAAAAACATGAAAGGTTGGTTCATGCTGCCATGTTTGACCAGTCCAGATTGATGCTGGTATAATAGTGTTGGATATACTTCCTTGGAACCTTTTGAACTGTTAGTACAAATGATTTGCTGCCTAGTTTACTGTTGTTGACTCTGTCAGTCAATGTATAAACACACTACCAGTGCCGAGCCAAGTGCAAAACATCTTGAGCCGTTTTCACACCTTGAGGATTTAGACCAATGTTTGCCTGACGTACGAAAAATCTTGCACAAACGCTGGCATACGTTGGATAAGTTATGAGCATGCTGAAGTACGAAGATGTTGGCATGTGACGATATATGG